GGTTATCGATGAGGAGGGAGGAGGTTCGAATGACAAGAGCGCGCAGCTCGAGCTACTCGGGGGAATGGAAAGCCGGACGAAGGCACGGGAGAGGCATCGAAGTGTGCAGCCTGCTGATGAGCACGTAGCGCAAACGTTAGATGTTGCGGTTGTGAACTGCAGCCTCAGGTACACCGGAGACTTTCGGGAGGATAGAAGGAACGGGGAAGGGATCCTGGAGGAGCGAGGGAAGACTTTCCATGTGCGATACGATGAGGACGGTGAGCATCATTGTGACAGATGGACAATTATTGATCTTTTCTCCCTTTGCGCGGCTTGCAGGTGTTGAGGTCTGGAGGAAGCCGTTTGCGGCCTTGGAGCCGGTCTACCCTGGTAGGCAGCGAACTCGTCGCCCTCCCTTGTCTTGAGCGATGTGTTGACATGCCTTGAAAGACATGCTGTGGTTGCCGCCCGATCAGCCCAGGTTTACCCCCAAGAGAGTCGACTTCTCCGGCCTCCTTGACAGCCTGTGCTCCCCCCGAAATCGCTCGAGGGCGGCGGGTCATGTGCAAGCGATGGACAAGGATCAGCTGGACTTGTGCTCAGACCTTGACGGGAGTGTTGCAAACGGGCAATCGGACGGGCAGTCAATCGGTCCACTGGACCAGCTGTTATCTTTTACCAACAAGCCTCAAGAAGGAATCTCAGTCATACCCAACAGGGACACGCTCACTGAGTCGGAAATATCGATCAGGGACGGGACAAACCAGAACGCGGTCATCAAGGCTACTCTTGTCTTTGGCAAGTTCGATCAGATCTCGCAGAACTTTCCCAATTCTCGTAAGGTCGGAGAAACACACATCTTGCTCTCTTACTCCGCTTCCTTCTGAACCCCTACCCTCATAGTTTTTCACCCTAACATCTCGACGTTTATCCAGCCCTCAAACCAAGAGGTTCCTGTCATCATGGAGATGGACAAGAATTCCTGGATCAAGATACAGCGAGAGAACGGAAGTTTCTCTGACAGGCAACTCCATCAATCAACACAGCATGCGGCGTCTTTCCATCTCACCTGCTCTTGCAGGCAATCGAACACTGAGGGCAGCCTGAAGGGATCTCCACCCAGCGAGATCCAAGTGCCGCGACTCTCTACCTCCCCCATCTTCCCCCGAGTTCTGTATGTTGCTGACGCACACGCTCTGGGTGTTGTGACGCCCCTTGATAGGCAATGGCAAGAGACGGCAGAGTCAGAGTCGTCCTCCTCCACCCCGAAGCATCTCAAGCACATCTCTCTCAACCCTACCCCCAGCCCTCTCTGCTCCTCCCTGCTAGCGAGTATGGCCCTGATCCTTGCTGCTAGATCTGTCGCTGACGCTGCTGCAGAGTTTGAAGACTGCAGCCGTAGGAAGACGCCAATAAGGAGCTAACCGACTCCACGACATGCGTCACGGGTACTGCAGCTTTGCAACCGAACGGTGCCTGCAGCACCATTGCCACCGGTCTGTTTGTCGGCGAAGTCTTATCTACATGTTTCGAACTTTCGAATCTTCAAGTTCTCTTCCTCTTGCTCTGTTCATTCAAAAACTTGAATTGAACGAATGCCTCGCTATCATTGAACTGCCATGCGACTGCTGCTGCGAGCCTGACCCTGAAACCTAGCATGAAATGCTGCCCACCGTGCCAAGCCTTGTCTGCTTTGGTTGGTAGATCTCTTCAAAAACTTCGTCGTTCTGTTCTTCACGTATCGCTCTGAACCGTCCAATATTAGCTCTCAATTCTCTTTGTATGGTAGTTTCCGGAGATTTTCATCACTGCTCTACTTGTACTCTACTGAAGTATAGCTATCACTCTACTGCATCACTCCTCAACTTGTACTCTACTGAAGTATACCTACCACTCTACTGCATCACTCCTCTACGTGTACTCTAGACGGTGCCATGGGGCAATGTGTATGAGGCACAGGAGCGAGCCACAGAGGAACGAAGTACTCCCAAGCACACGATGAGTCAACCCGAATCATCTAGAAGATTTATCTAATGCGTCCGCAGGGTGACCAGGGCGTCTTATCAGCAGCAAAAAGGAAGCTCCGCTAAGACTAACGATTTCTCCTATCGTCGGTGTTCATGGAGAACAGGCTCAAGGTCTTTCAGAGATGTCAAGGATTACAAGCTGCATTCAAGAACAGTTTTCATCTCGCCCATGGATTCATTTGAAGAGCACAACTTGTTCATGCAGATTTCATTCCCCTCAAATCGCCTGCAGCAAGGAGACTTCCGAAACAAAACATGACAATGTATCTGAATTCTTTTCACTGTTTTATTTTTTGTTGAATTCGAACAAGAATAAGATATACATGTTGTCTCAACGGCGGCGTCTGCCTTTCTTGACCTGTTATGTGTCGGTTGTGGGGTTTCTGGAATAAGTAGATTGTGCAAAGACTGCTTCGGATCAAGTATCCTCCCGGGTGGAGTCGAGGAGGGTCGGAGAAAGCAGATTGCATCAAGCAAGGATGCCAATTCGTGTTTTATTGCAGTTTCATTTTTGCAAAATGGTTTGTAAGTTGAAATATAATACAGTTGATTTCGCAGCATGCTGCCGAGTTCAACAAAAACGTATCGGGCGCAAGCCCCTAACTATTTCCTTAAATCCTATTTGTACATTGAAACGATTTCCAGGATTGAAATAAAAAACAAAAGAAACCAAAACAGAAGAGTAGTCGCGCTACTCGCCTTTCTCAAGAAATGGATCGTGCACATACCAGTCCACCCATTCCAGATCCAGCCCGGAGAATGGATTGATTTCTGATTCGGGCTCAATCGGCTGATTGTCATTCAACTCCTCGAACAAATTGGAAGAGAAGTCGAGTATGTTAATCTGTTCAGATTGTGAGGCAGTGGAACTTGGTTGCGACTCGATTTGAGGCTGAACCGAGCATGCCTGTTCCTTTGGCTGAACTTTCTCTGCCTGGAGCGGTTCGTTGCTGGGCTCGCGCTTACGGATAACAAATCGAGGACGAGTGCGTGAATACGGCCACTTTGAAACTCCAACTCGCCGGCAAGCTTTCTTCAGGGATGTCAGAGAGATGCCCTGTTCGAAACAAATCAGCAAAATCTTTCGAAAGTGAGGTGATCAGTACCAGGAATTCAGCGGCCTCGATTTGTCTCAGATGAAAGAGACTCACAATGTCATTGTATGTGAGTGAGACTGCACTCATCATATTGTGCGAATCCGCCATGAGCTCGTAAGTAGAAGACATGAGATTTCAATCGAGTTTGCTGTTGTGCGCGAAAAGTGTTTGAAAAACAACGAAGGTTCTTGGACAGGTCGTCGATGATCAGAATTCAATTGTCTTTGCTCACGATGATCCGTTCACTGAGGTCGCTCCTTTCTTCACTCTCTCGTTGTCGTGCAGCTTCTTGCTCCCGTCTCCTTCCTCCTCCCTCTTCACATGCCCGACAACGTCCCCCCAACATACCCTTGAGTTAGAGCTACACACCTGACCACCCCTTTTGCCTTTCCGTCATCCGTCTGTACAATTACACTACCCCATCATTTGTCCACTCAATATGGGGTACTATCACCCATCCCCATGGACCCTACCCCACATATGGGTGTACGTGTGGGCGTATCTTCCTTCCCCTACATACCTGGGGTAGGGTGAGGTCATAGGGAGGTCCCTAAAGGTGACGTATTCGTGGATCCAGACGCTGGAGCAGCGAAACCACGTGGTTTCGCACTTTTACGATGAGCCTGCATCGAAGCGACGCGTGGATACGATATGACGAAAAAAAACGATCTTTTTTTGGTAGTGGCTGGTACATTAGGCCTGTCAATCACCCACAGATTTGTACGAATGTTACCACACAGCCTGTGTCATCAGTGTTGGCTGCATAAGGTGCAACTTGGGTCCTAGGAGGGCAACCCTGCTAGGACCCATTACGGTGCCGTGATTGTCAGCGCATGGGGGATGACCGACCGTACAAGACATGGCCCGGTGTTAGCATGGGGAACCCAACAGGTCTCATTTCATAGCCCAGGGGTCTGGCGAGGGCCGGGCCCGGAGGAGTCCGGAGCGAGGCTCGGGGCGGCGGGTAGCCCGGGCGACCGACCGAGGCTCAAGTTTGGGGGACAGCAGTCGGCAGGATTGGGGTTGGTTCTCGCTGTCTTTTCTCTTCTCGCGGACTGACGGGTCACCCCGGTGACTGTCGCACAAGCCAAACGAGAGTCACAATTCCGAGTCTATGGCCCGGGCTACTAGTGACTTGGCAAGTTGCAGGGGGCCGCCCGGCGCGGCCGGGCGCGGCCTGGCACAGTGACTGCTCTGAGTGCGCGGCGCGGCGGCGCGGCGGGCGTAGTAGAGTCCGAGTACTGAGTCCCTGGGCCGGCGAGTCACGGCCCGAATTTTCGCGGTCAGGGCCGCGGTGCGCAGCCTCGCCGGGACTCACAGAGTCATTCGGATCGCGCTCTCAGTGCCGCGCTAGCCGCTGAGCCTTCTGAGAGTCTGGCATCATGGCGCGGCACTGCGCAGCCGGACCTGAGCCGCCAATCAATTGCCAAGGTTTTCATGAAATGGCCAAAATCTGCTGACTAGCAGGCACGTGATGACCATGTGTAGCATGTTCAAGGGGATTCCTATCCTCATGAAGTCGATGTACTTGTACCCGCCTGGACCCCAGACCATCATCTGCCAAGGATGTTACTTCCGTTGTGAGATACATCTCACTCTGACAGATCAGAAGCAGACTCACATTTGTCTGATATCCGATCGGGGTGATGAAGCTGGAAGATGCTGCTGCCATGATCGTAAACATGTAGGGCTTGTAAGAGACTCCCAACTTGGCCGCCAGATCGATAACCAGGGGGAAGATGAGGCCGGCAGCCGCGTTGTTAGTTGTGATCTCCGTCATGACGGTGGTGATACCGTAGATCATGAACAGACTGCCCATGGGGTTGACCCCTGTGTTGCGAAGAGCAGATCCCAAGATATCTGCCAACCCCGAGGTAGTGATGGACCTGCTGATGCCCAGCATGGAGCCTATGAGGAGCATCAGGTCCCAGGAAACATACCCCACAGCCTTTTTAGCATCGATCCACCCTCCTGCTATGAGCACAGCGGCCGCTGTCATCGCTGACTTCACCATGTCAACTTTCCCGTTGCCCGCGACCACCCATGCCACCATCCCACAGAACACGAGGACAGGAAAGTAATCGTAAGCCTTTGGAGGCTTTGGCACGGCACCAAGAGCCGTGATCATGAGGAAATCGTCAGAGTCTGCCCATTTCTCTCCGAACTCAGCGTGCGCAAGCGCAAGGATCACGTCTCCAGCATGCAGCCTGCTGTGCGAGACTTCAATGGGCTTCACAAAATTGCCTCCATTCTCCTCGTCCAGCTGATCGTCGGGATCAAAGTTGGCCGCATCAAGAGGCAGGCTACACTCTCTCTCGTACTCGATTTCCCCGTACATTCGCCTCCGATTCTCAATGCTGTTCTTCCCTGCGTCTTGGGCCGGCTGAGGGTTTACAACAGTTGAAACAGGCTCACTGGACCTTCCTTTTTGCCTCAGAGCAAGCAAACTGCAGCCGTAAAACTGGCCGAAGCTCGATTGAGCCACAACGTCTCCAACAAAAGCGTTCTTGTTGCTCAACACGACCTCGAAGAATTGGATACCATCCTGAGCCAACTCTGGTACGTCGCTATTGAGAATGTTCAAGTTCTTTGCAGCTGCAGCTGAGTGCAGTGCCATCATTGTAGTGCGCCCTCCACTGAGAAAGAGAGTGTCTCCTACCTGTAGCAGCTCATGGGATGGCACAGGGTAGATGTCGACGTATCCCACACGCGCGTTCGCTCTTAGAGTTGGGGTGACCTCTACGTCTGCACCTAAGTTCGACTCTGATTTGATCTCATCAGAGTTGGTGAATGTGTTGCTCCCACTGCTGTCTACTGACTGTAGCTTCCTTCTGATCTTGATCAGAACGTCTCTATGAAGCCCCAGATCCGACAGCGCCTTGTCGATGGGTTGACCAATGTAGGCAAAGTTCTCGGGGAGGGTTACTTCAGTGATCAGTTCCTTGTTTTTGTCTTTCATGTACCGAAACATTCCGCCAGTTCTAGGAAGCAGCGCGGGTCCGACGAGCACGAGGTACAGGACTCCCATCACACCAGCTGGAAGGCCGATATAAGCCGTCTCGAAGAAGCTTGGAATGTAAAGCTTCGCGTCCTCAGCCAGCGCCACTACCACCAGGTTGGTGGAAGTCCCGATGATTGTCAGCAAACCACCCAGAATCGTGCTGAAACTCAAAGGGATCAGAAATAGCGATGGAGGAAATCCTCGCATGCGGGCCCAGTCTCTGGTGATCGGCGTCAGCAACGCGACTACTGGCGTGTTGTTCAAGAAAGCGGAGATCACGAAACATAGTGTACAGAGCCGAAACAATCCCGATCGAATACCTTTTGAAACAAAAAACTCAGCTTTCAATGCATAAATAGAAATCATTGCATAGAAGGTTCGAAAGCAACATCTCACCTGTCTTCATGCCAAAAACGTTGCGAGCGGCCCATGGCGCCAGCTGGGTGCGTTCGATTGCTTGTACAACCACGAACAAGACACCGATGGCAAGAACACCCGAGTTTGAAAATCCAGCCAGAGCTTCCTGTGTTGTGATGATGCCACTATTCCAGATGATGCACATACACATGAATGCTACTGTCTCTGGTGTCTTCACTCCCGAGACCAGGAGAACGAACAGGACAAAAATCATGACGGCAACAAACCACGGTTGCCACGAATTGACTGATGCCATGCTTGCCAGGTTGATCCAAGTATTCAGCAACAATCCGATATGAACCTAACTGCACTCGACTCCTCCGTTTCTCCACCTAGCTACTGCGTGCCGAACTACTCCTCAATGCTGTTCCCGACTCTTTGGTTGCAGTCGAGCTCCCTTGATCCTACTGATACATCGGCTGCTGCAGTCTATGCACTCACTTTGGAATTCATCGTGATCTGTTCATTCTCCATCCTACTTCTCCCCTCTCCGCTCCGCTGCTCTCCTCTCTCCGCTTGCCTGCGCCATCCTGCGCTCATCGTTGCCTCCCCGATGAGCCTTGTAGTCAATAATCTTGCCAGATCCTACAACACCCCACCCCTATTCCCCTGCATCACTTTCCGCTTTCAGACCCCCCACCTACAAGGAGATCCTACCAAGGAACTTGACTACTTGAACCATATTTGACTACAAATGCTCTACAGGTCTCACCCACCCAACCCCCAGTACCATATGTTTTAGAGTAACCCCCACCACACCACTCAACACCCACTACCCACCCTTTCCTCACAACTCCACGACATTTGCCCAACTCTCAGGGGTACCCAGCCCTTCATGCTTCCCTGGGAACCATCGCAGCTCCCCACAATACAAAAAGACACCTTACCCCTCCTTATCCCTGTCATAGTACCCCTAGTAGTCCCTTGCAATGCCTTTCTTTTTTCGAGACCACCCCCTGTCTCACTCTCATCAAGGACCCCTGCAATCCCCCATTTTCAACCCCCCCTTCATAACGGGTTTGGACGGGTACCTGTGAGGCTCAGGGGGGGCTTTGGTTTTCTCAATGGAGGCCGACCAAATTGAACGTTACAAACCGTTATTGCATGAAAAGGGCATGCTTCCGTTACTCAGTATCTGTGGTTCTAACGGTTTTATGGTGCAGGTACAGAGGTGAAGTTGTCTCACCATTTGTTATAAATATTTGAAATTTTACCCTGAATTTTCAAATTTACTCCAGATTGTCATATTGTTCCCCTACCCTACCCCCATCTGCCTGGTGAAAGAATAGCCTAGTGCCGTTTACAGTCCTTGGACCCCAGATATACATGTAAAGTACCCCACCGATGGTACACAGTACCTACCACCTCACCCAGCGGCCGCGCATAAAGCGCTCGTGATGGCAGGGGGCGCAGCTTGTGGAAAATGCAGAGCCGAGCGAGTATTCGAAGCGTTTCCGTGCTGTAACTTCGAAAGTCGATGCTATGATGCACAGGAAATGAGATTGTGTGTGAGATAGAGAGTGAGATATGATAGTTGAGGAGTCATGAGGAACCAGGAGTGGTCTCCAGATTGAAGTTTGTTCTGTACCTCGCAGCTATGAACCATGCCGCAAATACAACGGTGGTGCTAACTGCGTTGTTTCTGTTTTATGTCGTTGTCTGAGATATGTCAAAACCTAAATAGTCGGGAGAATTCTATCAGTGGGCAAAAATGTCGAATGCACTAAAGTATTACTACGACCTTTGTCGTTAACAACAAAGAAATCTTCAAATTGATGGTCAATTATCGCTCCAGTGCAAATCATGACGATTTCTGACACCATTCCTGCAGTTACGCGTCGTTGCCTCTTCCTGCCATCATGAGACCTGCTAGCGTCTTGACTCTGCTTCTCGGTTTCCTGGCAACAGCCACCTCGTTTACTCTTCCCGGCTTTACGCCATTACAGTATAGCAAGCCCTTTCCTTCATGCTTGACTGACAGACAGACGGTGAGGCCAGATAGACCAGCATTGTCCGCCTTGAGCATGGTGTTCCGAAGAAAGCCAGCAGGAAGAGGACAAGGCTATGCTGATGACAAACGATCGGGTCGTTTGGGCAAGATTGTTCTTACCGAGCTCGTTCAGATCCTGCGCAACCCTTTCTGCATCAAGGTGGCAGGAGGTGATGTTGACCTTGACATCGTGTCCATGGTCTCGGTGGTGGAAGTTGAGATGATGGGCGACAACACGATAGCAAAGGTGTTGGTGTCTACGATGGGAACGGATGCGGAGAAGAGGCAGGCGGTTAAGTGGCTGAATCAGAACAGCAAGGCGTTGAGGTTCTCACTCGCTCAGAGGATGAAGCACCACAAGAAAGTTCCCGAGCTCCGCTTCACTGCTGCAGCTCTCCCTGAGGCGATGTCGGTGATGTCGTTGCTCGATCAGATCCGCGAGGAGCGCGAGGCGAAGGAGGCGATGAGCAACCAGATGACTGCAGAGGATGAGGCAGTGATGGAGGTCTCAAAGGGGATGGAACGAGAGCTGCAGGGCATGGAGTCCGAGGATGACAAGGCGCTGTTCGCTGGTAGCCACTCTGTGTCGAACTGAAGGCAAGCCCTAATTTGTAGCTTAAATCTTGTAGATATGAGTAAATTGAGTGGAATGAACGAGACGGGAAGGGTATAGGCGAGCAGTCACGATTGTTTGCAGACAACCTTCAATTCTGATTCTCTGCATGCTCTGCACACAGCTCGCGCTCGATACCATTAGAAGATTTCCACAAAACGGGGACTCTCAGGATCTCTTTCCTCCTCTGAAAGGTCCAGCTGAGGCATTCCCTGTCATGAGTGTTATCGACTCTCCTTCAACCTCCCTCCCTCCTCCCTCCCTTCCTCCTTCCTCGTTTCCCTTCCCTTCCCTCCCTCCCTCCCTCCTCCTCCTCCCTCCTCCTCCTCCTCT